GATAGAGTCTCAGCGGGTGCTTTTTGCACTTCTGGGTGTAGTTCATGAAGCTCTTTGGGGTAAATGGTTGATGATTGAATATCATTGAACTCCTCTCCTGGCGTTGACCTAGATCTTAGCTTGGGATACAGACCCGGACAATTCCTCTTGTAGGTCTTGATTTAAATCAACTCGGGTCCTGAGAGGTCACCCTCCCGTCGTCTTGTTCCCTCCGGTCGACAGGGTGAATCAAAGGTCTGAACAAAGATCCACCAAGAACATGTCCTTTTTCCAAGAGGATGTTTCTATCAACCTTGGAGATCCTTGGAGATCTTTGTTAAGTAAGTCATCAACCTATCAGGTCCTTCTAGGCATCCACATGCCAAGCCACCCAGGGGCTTCCGAGTCAATGTCGCAGATGCGCCGCAAGATGGCACCCTTGCCTCGCCGGTGCCATTGATTCACGAGAGAAGCGCAAGACCCAAAGCGTTCATGTATGGAATAGTTGCTTGCATTTACCCCACTTGTGACCCTATTGCAAGTAGCTATGTTCCATACATGGATGATCATGGATGGTCTGGGGTAGGAAATGTAAAGGCGTAAAGCTTGTGGAAAATCAATTGCAAATCCTTGCAAGTGGAAAGTGGGATTCTACTAGGACATCGGACAAGTTTGAGAATCTACCTCACTACCACTACCTGGACCCTACCTCAACCTTCATTTGTTTAGGCATCACCTTGAAAACAACGTTCCCCACATCCAAAACGAACAGAACGCTCTCCTTACTCTGTTGGAACACCCTCCACATCCATCCCCGGCCCAAGTAGACCTTCAGTTCACAGCTGGAGCTCCCATCCAACATGCGATGAGCTGAGTTCTGAGCATCTGCAAGTCAGGCCAAGTCAGGACATGTCAGGCCAACATTCACCGTACCAGCACGTTCCGTGACGTCTCCGTCTTAGACTACCCTACAGGACGGACGTGGATCTGTTGATCGCAACATTGAAGGTTCACGTAGACATCATCCCTCCATATTCTTTCCGTTACAAACTGAACAACATCATCCAAAAGCTACACCTTGTTGAGACAGGAAAATAGACGAAGATGGACACGACAGGCAACTCTCCAGCACACGTTCTTCGACAAAAAGGCCAAACGGCTTAAACTCCATGTCAGGCCAACGAGCCACGAGAGATGCCAACGAGAGGCCAAAAACCAAGTCAGTACCGTAGACCAGACGATGTCTGGGACTGGAAGAGTTACCTACTTTGGGGGTCATTTTTCATGGGGTAAATGATGCAAAATGTATATCACTATTCCATACATGGATGGTCTGGGTACCCTCACAAAATGGGACGTGAACCGGAAAATAAACATCAAATGTCGGGGTCACCTGGCTGGGTTTGCAGATGCTGGTACAAGTTTCTACCCATTTGGTCGACCGTACGTTGGCTCCGGTTGCGCTCCACCGAGTTTTTCGCCTGCGGCCGTCGCCGGCCTTGCCTGAATCGTGAGGCCCGACGATCTGGATAACACTGCCCTGGGGCGCCTCCTCGGTAAAGTCTGTACCTCTGCGGCGACCGCGGTTGAGCAAAACCGCGGCGTCCACGATGCCACTGGGGTGGGCAAGCCCGACGGTTAACCAGCACCCGAGAAACAGGTCTCCGAAATGGTGGCCGAAATGGACCTGTTGAAGTTGACCTGTTCGTACGGAACAGGTCGACTGTCACCATGATGTTCTTTTCGCTACGAAGGGTTCGTTTGGCCATGGGCAATGGCCCTATCACCCTGGACCGAATCCAAACACGCAGAAGACGCACAGGTCGATGGTTGGGCGATGTGGGCTCTCACGAGAATGGACCATGAATGACGAAAAAGCAAAGGCTTTGACCAAGATGCCCAGCCCAGCTCAACCGAACCCCCGCTCAAAACGAGGATGTGGCTGGGTAGCTCGCTGTGTAGCTCTTTCATACGGAGATCTTCTCCCCTCAAAAGAAGGGAAATTGACATTTTAAATAGACCAGTCTACCCAGTCTAGTTGGGAATCTCCCATATTGAAGTACACACCCATTTCTGGCTTCACATCCGAACCAGACCTGCGCCCCACCTGTGTCCTGGATGCCTGCGCCTCATCTCCAAAACTGCAAAAAAACAGCAATGCACAATTCCAATCGGAAGCTTCGGTGTTCCCACTCGCATGACTCTACAAATTACCTCAAGGTCCTCAAGGGTCCTCCCTCAAGGTCCTCAGGGTCCTCTCCGTGGATGGTGTTTCTCCTCCTCCCACAACTCCTCTGCGCCTCCTCGGAAGGTGGGCGATTGGTCGATGCTGATGTTCTTAAAGGCGATGGGGATCAGATCGAAGTTCTTCTGCCCGTGGCTCAAGGCAAACTTCCTGAGACGCCGTCGGAGAAGACGGAGTTCAAGCGGAGCATACTGGAGATGGAGGAGGATCCGGTTTTTTCCGGTTGGGAGAGCTCCGCTTTGCGAAAAGGCCAAACTTGGGGATGGTGCCTTTACTTTGAAACCGCTTGACCGCGTCTGAGGACGCGATATAGGTTGGCCTCAGGTGACTTTCTCTGTCCTCAGGTGGCTGGCCCCGCTGCTTGCAACTTAGAGCTGGGTAGAGTGAACCCGAACATAGGGCCACGACTTCCACTCACTTCCCCAAAAAGAACCAAGAACGAACGCCAATATGAGATGTTTATAACAGGGAGGACCTGGGACCTCCCCACCCACGGACTTCGTCCTTTTTTGGACTCCATCCGAGGTCTTTGAAGAGTGACCCCTATATTTGAAGACGTGGAGTTGCAGACCGTTTGTACTTCATTAAAACATCCCCTGTGGAATTGTCTATAGTCTATAAAATCGGGTCATTGTGAGCTCAAGCTCCCAGATTCTGCGGATATTCGGCAGAGGATCATGAAAACGGTATACAACTATTGTATCTTGTAAACCCATGCATATAATTTAGATACCAGAGATCCAAAGCAGGACTGGTGAGTCATATCCATGTACGTCCGCTTTCCATCGCCTTCTCTCGGGCGCCACGTTCCGAGGCGTCCGTCCCCCCGAGTCTATCGGGCACGGTCGACATTCGACATCGCTGACATCGAACTCGGGATCCAAACGCCCGGACCGTCGTAGGGTTTACAGACCGTTGTTGTCAAGGCAAGAATGGTCTGAACGACCGGTCGTTCCACTCCAAGCAGCTCATTCGTCTTGAAGACCGCCGCCTGCGCCATCCGTTTTGAGAGTCCGAAAAGCGTCCGAAAGCGCCCTGGGCGGGACTGGGTTTCGAGGTGAGATATGGCACGCGTATGGACGTGGCACACACCTGCCACTGGGGAGACGTCTCCATTTCAGCCACCCAAAACTCGGAGAGCTTCATGTTTTCATCGGGTGACCTCCCTAGAAGTCGATTTCGACCCATTTTGCCCCACTAGAAGCCGAAAAGATAGAATAGGGACATTCCTTGACTCCAAACCCCTCAAAACCCTTCTTCCTACACTCTTTGACAGGTGCTCGCAGAGGTTTCTTTCTAAATCAAACGCCTCGCCGCCTTCCGCGAGTCACCCCCAAGACGGCAGACGTCCGCCCCGCCCCCGCGATCGAAGGGCCGGCACCTTCTGCGGGATATCGACTTCCAAGTTGAACTGTACTGTTAGAGCACCCAAAGGGCCTCAATCAACGTGCCGCACGTACCCGTCCAAGACCAGGGAATGTTGCGCCGGGCTCACCGTGATCTGAAGGGGAGAGGACCCTTGGTGACTGGTCACAAGCCTGTTCAAGACTAGTGACTGGTCACATGTTGTGCACTCAAGGTGGAATGCAAAATTCAAATAAAACTAACTGTAAAACTTGAAATATGCATCTCCTCCCTTGGAGCCGAACTGGGTAAGCATGTTCAATCATACCTATATTCAAGAATGAAAACAAGACCCTCCAGTGCATTTGGACACTGAAAAATTCCTTGAACAAACATAGCCTGGAGTAGATGGAAGTAGATGGCCACCTGTGAGAGTCACCGAGTCCGTCCAAACGACCGGTCCGTTCCAACGTCCACGTGGTCCACATCCACCGGCGATGCCAAGCGGACGTACGGCGGCGTTTAGAAAAAGAAACATCAAGAGGCCTCCAGAGTTGGAAGGGCGGGATCCTGGTATATCGTATGATTGTTGTATCATTGTTATTACTTTTAGTTGTTATTACAGTACCTATACAGTAATTAGAATCAATATATATAGAGAGAGATGGACTGTGGAAGATATGGCTACCTTGACCCCCAATTCGACTGCCCAAGACCCCTTTTGTCATATGCTCAACCTCCCTTCAAGGTGCCTTGCTTGATGCACGCCTTACAGCTTGTCACGTCCCTCCCAAGCCATGAATGGCGACTGCATCATACCCCCACACACTCCATGAGACAGCCATTTTTGCCTACATTGGGGTGGTTGAAAAGCGGTGAATGTAGTAATACATAGTAATACCATGCGAGCTGGCGCTCCAGAAGCTACAACTGGCCGAGAGTGGCTGGCGACTGGCGTATTCTACCAAGGGACTGATGGCTTTGCTCAACGACTTCAAACCGTCTAAGATGGTCGAGAACCGATCGCCCAAGTCCTGGAACTCGGTCCAACGCTCGGTTGCTCGGTCGAGCACACCTGGGTTCGTTTGGGTTCGCTCCGTCGCTGGTCAGAAGCGGAGGAAGTGGCCTGGTCTACGGTATGAGGATCGTCGATGGTCTACGGTCTTCCAAGTCTTCCGAAAAAGATGGCTTTGTCTTCCAAAAGTATCCCTATAGGGCTCCAGTCGTACCTTCGTTTCGAATGTGTTTAGGCTGGGTTTAGAGGGTCCAGTCATACCTTCCGAGGAGGTACGACTGGGGCCCAAACGGGTATATTACCCTCCTTGAAATTGTTGGAGGTGGACAACCCCATGAGGATGTTGGAGTCAGGGTAGTACTCATCAGGTGCATTGATTCGGAGGCAACGGCCGGGCTTCGGCCATTCTGCGCCGATTCATACTATACCGCTATTATGTTCAGGTCGCCAGCAACAAACATCCACTGCTTGGCTTATAGCAGGTCTCTTAAAAAAATCTGGACAAGCTAGAACCGCTGCACTGGTGATTTTGGGGGAGGGAAGCTCTTCTCTCCAGTTCTTCTCCTTGCTTTCAGAAATTAACTGCTTCTTTTTTAACGCGTGGCCACGGCCGCGTGAGTTTTGCCGGTCCTTGTAGATGTTGATCGTGGTCACCAAGGCACCCAAGGAGATGCGGCCCCCCAGCACCATTTGCGCACTGCCGCCGATGTAGAAGCCGATGGCCAGCAAGGTAATCCAGGGGATCAACTGGCTGTTCCTCGGGTGGCCCAACAAGGTCATCTGAAGAAGCTGGTCATTTGAAAGAAGCCTATTGAAACTGGCAGAACGTGCAACATCGCAGGTGGTGACCTGGCAGGTGAAGGGTGTCCCGGGTAAAAGGTTCATTCAAAACATTCCGGCGAAACCATTGAAAACCAGCCTCTATTGTGCCCATCTTCGGATGCCGCTGGCTGGAGCGAAAAAGCAGCAGTTTGTGTCCACAATCAAGGTGGTGATGGGAAGGATTTGAACATGAAGTCAAATGTCCGAGAAAAGAACTTCCCCCTGGCGCCAAATGCATGCGCCAAATGCATGTTGGGGAACGCCATGTTGGGGAACGCCACGCCACCTTGCTCATGTTTGCCCGGAGCCAAAGCCTCTGAGTTTGGTTGAAATTCACCACCATCGACACCGATCCGATCATCGACACCGATCCGACCATCGACCCGGTAAAAGAGTTCAGACTCCATCCACGCCACCCTGGACCCCATCCCTTTCCGCCTACCTGCCCGTGGGTCTTCTTTTTCCGCACAAACACATGGGGCTGTTTGATGGTTTTGGGCTCCTTGGCTCCTTGAAACCTCGAACAGGGCGACTCGCATCGCCTCCAGGGACCCGAACCCCCTGGGTCGTCGTCGGGTCGTCAACATGGGCCGGCACGAGCGTGCCTGCGAGCCAAGTCGCCAAAAGCTGAAGCTTTTCAAGTCCATCACGTGCTTCCTCTGAGTCTTCAGCACCTGCAAGAGTGGGTGCTACACGATGGAGTGGAAAATGGAAGGAAAGGCATCTATGGGACCATGGAAGATATACCTACATTGACCCGATTTCAACCACCCCAACGCCAGGTCAATAAGGCCATAAATATCCATTGACTATATGCATGAATGATCAGTGTTCCAGACTGATCTCCCATTACACCCATTACCCTATATTCCACTGGCGCTGGGGAAAGTAACTACCTGAGATGTCTCAGTTTGTACCTCGGAAAATCGGTACAAGCGCCTACAAGTTCCGAAGTAGCCTGTAGATGTTTATAGTTATTATATATATATACGATATATAGGTCATTGTCCCATTTTCTAACTTACTTTGGGTCCACTTACTGGTCCCAGTGACAAAGGTGCTGGAAGGCCCAGAACTCGGACCTTCACGTCATGGAACGCACTCGACTTGCATGGAACTGGGTGAGCTCCAGCGGACGTTCTTGACCGAACTTGAGGCGATCGCCTGCATATACCAGGACCCCCGTTTCGGGGTGTCTAGTTGCTCCTTAGAGGTGATTCGGGGTGTCCATTAGCCACCCCGACTGTGGGTCCTGGTAGAGTTTCCAATCACCGTACCTCAGGTTCGGTATGTGGATCCGGGGTATATATTCCAGTCCACGGAACGTCGTACTGTCACCCCATCATCACCCCCTGGTTCTTCCCCAGATGCGAACGGACAGATCCCCTGAAAGTTGCTTCAGTCACGTACGTGACAAAAGAACTGGAAGTTCGGTCCCAGGGACTCGTTCGGTCGTTCGGTCGAAGACGGTCGAAGAAGCAGGGCCGGTCTACCGTACTAACCTGCGAGAGTCCTATTATCCCCCCCGCATCGACCAACGGGTGAATGTTTGTTGTTGCTTCCTGGTTGGAAGTTGTTCCATTTCTTCATCAGCCCTCAGAATTTGGGCCCTTCTCCAATGGGAAGGTGGACCTTCTTCAGATTTGGCTCCCCCTGCATCCATACTGCGTGACAATCACTGAAGAGTTTTGCTGGGTGGATTTCGACGATCCGTTGATCATAGATCGCTGACCCGGTGGAGCTTCGAGACCAGTTCCCACTGTCCTCTGGAGAGGTCAGGGGTCAGGTCGGTCTAGAGATGTCGAGAAACAAACAGAATATGACACTGAAACCGAATGAAACCAATGAACCCAGACATGGCCATTTCAACGAATGAAACTCATTATGACTCATGGGTGTCCGTTTCTTCCATCTGAAACAACCACTGGCCGCCACACCTCGCACCCGCTCGACACACTTCGCGCTTCCGGACCTCCTCGAAGTGGCGGACCACGATGGTCTTCTTCTCCTGACCGACCGACGTCCGCCGACGAACGCGTGGCCGACGGAGGCGGGCGGGCACGCACTGCGCGGGCGGAGGTCCAGACGATGGACCCAACGAGGTCCTGGAGGGTCCAGGTAATGTGTGAAAACAAGTGCTTGACCTGAAATCTCGGATTCCAACCACCATTGATGTCAGTGGTCTGAATTCCAAAGAACCCTGGGTTCTATTTAAAGACTTTACACTGCAAAACCAGGTCAACAGGCAAACCATGTTCTTTGAATGGTTGAACTGAAGGCAAACGGGCATGATTTGCTGATCAGGCCAGGGATCAATATGTCGGTAAATGGGCTGGATTTATGAAATGAATGTAAATGAGTGAGACTATTTTATGAGCTGAGTCTTCAGAAATCTTCAGGGTATTGAGTCCATGACAGGGGGCAAACCTCTTCGGAAGCCTTGGCTTTCGAGCTCGGACGGGTCTTGACCCACCGAGAGACCGACCGGTTGACGAACATGACCAGAATCGACTACCAAACATGGTCGACCTAGTAGGGTTTCAGGCTTCAGGTTTTGCACAGAGAGAAACCCGACCAACTCTGTCTGTGTCACACGTGGCTGGCATGGAACTATGTTTGGCACCAAAAACAGCTCTGACAAACGACGTTCCTTTAAAGGTCTGAAGCATCACAACTAGCCAGTGGCAGCTGATGGGCTACAGTTGTCCACGACGTCTTCTCGAAGGCATCATCTTAGTTGAAATCGCCTTGACCTTCCAAAGTACCTTCTCTAAAATTGGACATGGATCCAGAAAAACAAGTACTTGATGGTACGTGTACCCATTTTCCCTCGTCATCTACATTTTTTGGAACCCCTGCTGTGTTCGATTGGGCCAAGACTCGTAGCAGTTGATGAGCTTGTGGTTATTGTGCGCGTGCATTAGAGTGCCAATGGTGGCACTTTGCCCTTCACCCTCCTTAGCCGGATCATTTGCTTGCGGCCAGCAGCCAAGGATGCAGGCCTTCTCGGAGAAAACATCGACAGAGGATGCGCAGGGCTTCACTTGGGCGCGCGGTGTCGAAACCTACCAGGACCATCCAATCCCAGACCATCCATGTATAACATATCTACCGATCAGTTGGGGTGGTGCCAGGGGGGTCATATATATTCCAGTCTCATGGATGGTCTGAGAATGGGTGTCCTGACTGGACTACCCAGCCCACTACTTTGGGAATCTGACAGATCTCCAGCTAGGACACCCAGGTCCAGGACAGATTAGGCGATGATTAAGGACCAAAAGAGGGGTGATTTACATTGAGTCCCCTTTCCAGGGGCCTCACCCTAAGAATCCGGGCCCTTCTTGAATGGAAAAGGCTTTTTTTCTGAGGGTAAACCCTGGGAGTCCAGCCGACTTTGTGAAGAATTGTCCGACCGGAAGAGAAGGAATTTCCTGAAAACTTCGGTGGAGCAAAATAGCTCGTCTTCGGACTGTGTATATATGTGGTGCATGCTTCCGGTATCTTCCGCAAATTCCGGAGGCAGTCGATGCTAGGCAAACATTCACAGCTCAGAAAGCCCAGAATGCTGTTACTCCTATCTTGTCCTCATGACACAACAACTCTGCGAGGCGTCCCAGACGTCTGTGCTCGACTAAGTGCTGCGGAGGCTCTTTCCCCATGAGGTCCAACCTCCTTTTGTAGGTACACCACAAATATAGGGCGATAAGGATGGGGTAAAAGGCCAGCGTCTGTAGCGCAGTGCCTGGCAGTGGGATCAGGACTCCTGTTAGTTGGCGCATTCGGGTTGAGAGATCTTGCTGGGCAACCATGTTTCGCTTGTGATCGCCACATCCATGTACAATTTTGCCCCTTATCCGACGCCTATATATAGACGTTGGACGACTAGCGGTAATGTTTGCAAAACACAAATCCCCTCTGCAGAGGAAAAGGCACATTGAAGCATACTTCGCCAACCTTCCGTGGTGTGTGTCTGTGTGGATGTCTTTCCCACCAAGAAAGTACAAGGCGGCCTTTTGGGCTTGCAGCTGCTTTCAGCAGCCTCTGCTTTCTTTCTGCTGCATTGAACATATTCTCCAAAGGCCGAAACGTGGGGAAACCAACAGTGTCAAATTATAAGACCGTGACTGTAACTACGTACGTCTGACCGTCTGACCGTCGGTCCCAACCTGGTCTTTGAACCTCGAGTAATTTGACCAACGAGGTCCAACGGTGTCGAGGCCCAGAACAAGATTCAGCCACCCCTGGCCCCGCAGGGCATCAGCAGGGCGTGATTTGGAAGAGAATGGTCGTTTTGTACCAGTGAGCTCCAGCCAGGCAACTATAGATCCGCTGCTCATAGGGAGATCCCCTGGATCAATGCTTTTTGTTATTTTCCTTCTTCCAGGGGATCGTTGCCTGGATGGTCTCCCTATACACCCATGTGCTACCATACTCAGCTACACCAGGAGAAGAACTGAACTCTCCCTTCCGCGCGCGCAACCGCGTGGGTCATGCGACAGCGATCGCCTGGTGTTTTCTTCAACATGAAGATCGTGACCATCCCAATCTTGCCTGGGCACTCGGCCATGAGGCCCTCTCCGAATCAAGGTGTACCCAAAACCCTATAGTCTTTAGTTCGACAAAAAAAAAACTGCTTTTGTGACTGTGGAGTAAAATCCTTAGTAAAACAATGATTCTTTGGGACTCAAACCATTAAATCAATGGTTGTTGAAATGTTAGGGAAAAGGTAAGCAGTTCTTGAGGCCCTCTGTCGGATCATGTAGAAGTACCAGTCGCTTGATGTCACTTGCATTTGCTGAGTTCGTTTTAGCCGGGAAAAAGACAAAATAGCCCAATAGCCCCCATGCTCAAGAATGAGAAACCAATTGAATCATCTTGCATCTGGACAGGAATTGGGGCAAAAACCCCGTGGTCGCTCCGAAGGGCAAAAGGCAGTTATATGGATAGCCCTCTGTCACGAAAATCGCTCCCCCCAAGCCGAACTCCATCGGTCATCCACGTCATGCCCAGTGGCCCAGCATGGCCCAAAGCTCGAAAATGATCAAATAGCCGTCCTTAGGACCAAGCCATCAGACCTTCGACCACCCGGGTGGGCCACCCGGGTGGGCCAGAGAGGAGTTGTTCTTGTACGGACGCGAGCAGCTCTACTCGGCTCATGCAGATGTTCAAGAATATGTGTATATATATATATATATTATTAGGCTGATGTGACTGATGTGACCATCTCCGCAAAAAATACCCTCCAATTCTGTGGGTCAAAGAACCCATCGACATGAAGAGGTCCCTGAGGTCCTTGGGTCAAACATGTACTTCCCCACGACGACGGGGCGATCAAGGAGAAACCACATCCACAGTCTGCGTAGGTTTGCAGAATGGGAAGCCCCTTTCAAAGGACGTGTTCGCTGCTTTCGCGGATTTGGCTCTACCTGGACCCGATGCCCCAAAGTACCGTAGAAAATGGAAACATGACCCGAACAAAAGGCAGGTACTTGTACCAGGTGTCTGGTGTACTTTGTTTGAGACTCCAGGTAAATCTGAGGTTTACAACGATGCCCAAAAATTCTGGACTCTTTGGAGTGGAGAAAGTGAGGAACGTTTCTGGAAAAAAAACATCATGTAACTTTTCATGGCAGTGAGTCAAACATCTGTATAGCCCCCGACACCCTCATGATACAGGACAAAAACTATATGTTGGACCCTCCAATGCACCTTGGAGAAATGGGTTAAAAGTAAGCATGCATATATATATATATATAGACAAGTATTTGCACCGTCTTGTACCCATTTTCCAAGGTACTTTGAGACTCCACCTGGAAACGGAGACAAATACATGGTTTGTGGAAACATCCATTGATTTCTGGTTGTTTGCGTTCCAGGCAGGTACCTTTTTTGTTTTACCAACATTGCGAGAACCAATCCTCCTCGCTCCACACCACGTTCCATCTTTGGCGTGCGGTCTTCCTCCCGAGCAGTAAAACCTGGTGTGCTCACTGCGACCCAAAAAATAACGAGCGGTTCCGAGTCCTCTGCGGAGTCCTCTGCGGAGTCCTCTGCGGTTGCCAACCGATCGATGTCTGCGGGTACCAGGATCACGAGCAGGATGCCTGTGGCTGCTTGTAGCTCGCTGCTTAGCACAGTTGAGGTGTCTGGCTGGGGTGTGTTGATGAAGAGCCCACACATCTGACCATCACTGACCAACTGAATAGCTTTCACTGCGCCCGACGGTTGCGCCCAGACTCCGCGACCACGTCAGGGATATCCTGGCACTGCATGTGCAACAAACAAGAGTCCTACGATCTGAAGACCTAGTGGGAAGGAGATGGAAGGAGTCCACCTATTTTGGAACTCACGTCAAATACTCAACTCTTTTACAGTAAGATGAAGTTCTGTCATTTGCCACGGTCCAAATATGTCCAAATTGTCAAAACTCAGGTTCTGATTGAAGCTGCCCAAATTCCTGGCAGGCCGTTCTTGCTGTAAGGTGCTTTTCGGTGGTGTGGAGCCTGTGTGGGTCGGAAAAACAGACTCATCCAACATGGGAGTCATGCGCATATGGGACCCTCAAAGTATTTCTTAGCACTTGGTATACACGTACACTCCCTGGATGCGAAAACAACCGGTTTGGTATGAAACAACAAATCTTCATTCTTTCGGGGCCATGCCATCCAAACATGATTTGATAGGGCACCAATCATCCCATATCATCCCATGTTCACCCATTGTCCAATATACCAGCACCCGACTCTACTCTACAGGTCACCGAAATGGAGGCTAACATGCAAGCTGAAAGGTCGCAGGTGACCTTGCAGGTTCCGGGTCTTGGTCGTCTTATTGGTCCTTCAGGAAAGGCACTGACAAACACGACCAATCGGAGGGGCCGGACCCGAATCCAGACTGGAGGGTGTGAGCGGAGCGTTTGGGATACTCCGATCTCCAAATCTCAGACACACCTTGTCTGCGACTCCCACGCCAAGAACAGTGATTGAACAGGGGTCCCATACCTGGAACCCCAGTCCCAACCAGAAACCGTTGTGGATGTGCCAAGTTCTGGCACCAGCTTAAGCTATCCTTTACGCAAGTGGTTGTTTGGGACTGTGGAGTTCCATCCTTTCATTTCTGGTTGGAACTGGGTTTCCAGGAAGGGTTGTTGATGGTTGTTTGGTAAAGCCTTCAATCAGGTGGTTCGACGATCGAATCCTGGACCAGTACCTTCCTTTCGCACGGTGCAAACACTGGTTCCTGTCGATTTCGCTTCTGACACCTGAAGATCTGTAGGAAGATGCTGGAATCCACGACCGATCCATACGTGCCAACACACCCACGTCCGATCGTTCACGAGTCACATGGAAACCACGTCCGTCCTCCATGATGGCAATCTTCAAATCTTGCACCGGCACAGCTGCTCGGGACCTGAGCATCGATCCAGACACTCCATGCATTGAATATGATTGAATAGGTATGCATCACTTGCATACCTATAAGATACTTATATATATACATAATATACACCTACATTGACCCCTAAACCAACCGAATCCCTAAGGCATACAAAAACACTATAGTAACAAGGAGCTACTATGGTAACAAGTGCAGCTTCTTGTAGCGTCGACCAGTCCCATCAAGCGTCTGGGGAGATGGACAACCGCTGCGGTCGCCGGTTTGGGGTGTCCGAGCTCCTTAGAGGCTGGGTGTCTAAGCACCTCCTAAAGAGGCACTGGCATCGACCCCCTTGTTGGTCAGGGCCTTTGATAGACCCCCCCTCATGCAGGTGACCAGGCAGGTTTCGTGTCCTGGTCATCCCGAAGAAACACTGATAGACACGACCAATGCGAGGGGCCAAGAACCAGTCACCATTGCTTTACTGAGTTTACACCAACAGGTCACCCAAGTCCTGCCCACGGGAAACGGGCGGAACGGCAAGCCAAAGAGTTTCGTCGGCTGCAAACACCCCCCCGTTCCAACGATGGGTTGAACGCTGGTTTCATGCATCCTGCTCTGCTTTCGCTGAAAGCTCGTTTTTTGGGGTGTCATCCCTGACCTGCCAATTCGGAATGAAGGCACCCACTAGTCACAAGCGACATGCTTTCGGCGCAAGGAAGAGGAAAGAGAGGGTGTCATCCCACTCCCCTTTTCTCAACAGAAAACGTATCGCAGCTCCGAATGCCCAGCAGCTCGGAAGTGTAACGCAGGTACTTCCGGAAGAGGTTCACACGAAGGTGGTTTCCTTGTTTTTGTGTCGCGCAAACAACCCCAAAGACTTCTTCTCAAGATACAGAGTCAACTGATTTTGGGACTAGGTGAACCTAGGTGAACCATGAAAGGTCTTCGAAGCCTTGACTCCTTCACAATGAATCCTTTGTCGCCACGAACCCTCTGTTGTTAGTTCGACCTCACCTCAAGCTCCACCGGTGATTGGGAGTGCTTCTGCACCCCGAAGTCAAGAAAACACCTTCCGACCAGCCGACCCAAAAAAATCGGAGTCTGAAGAAATGGTGAAACATGGTCAATCCCTATAGGGCTCCAAATACCTTGAGGAGGTGGGTGTTTGGGGTGAGTAGGTTTGGAGGGCCCAGTCATAGCCCTTCTGAGGAGGTACGACTGGAGGAAATTGAAACAGTAAACTTCTGATGAGAAATCCCCTAAGTGATTCCAAAACTCCTTGGTCCATCGTGGTTGCCCCAAGAGATCTGAGTCTGAAGAGATCTGTATATCTTCGTACCAGACCTCCTGCTCTTCTCTTCCGAGTGCGTCAACCCTCAGATACCGTCAGAGACCCTCAGAGACACTCAGACTAAGGATGTTTGGCACTTTGTTGTTCTTTCCTTCTTCTTCTTTCCTCCTCCTCCTCCTCATCCTCCTCCTCCTCCTTCTTCTTCTTCTTGTTACTCTTCTTCTTTTCTCTTCTGCATGTCTGCCCTGTTCATCTATATAAGACCAACCAAAAGGCAGAACTATTGCATAGTTGGAAGATCCAAGATCCAGGATCCAATTAGCAGCACCCACCAGCCCGCGCCCTGGCCCTGGCGGCCCTGGCGGCCCTGGCGGCCCTGGCGGCCCTGGCCACCCAACGACACACCGATCCTTTTCTCCCACTCGCTGGTCCAACTCGTGTCTCGGCAGGGTCGAGCAGCGAATGTTGAAGCCCATCTCCAAGCCCTTCATCTCAAAGTAATCCGAAGCCAAAAGGATGATGTTGGGCAAGACCTCGCCCCAGCAATCCGACGAACCACGAGATCTCGCCCCATGTTGTGCCAAAAACTGCGGTTCGGTCGAACCACTGCGACTCGCCTCACGAGAGGTAAGTCGGACCAAAGGAAGGGAAGGACGGAAAGGACAGGCTTAAAGGGACAGGGACGCGGACAGAAACCCGTGTGGCGCGAAGCTCCAAATCTGCGGAGATCAGGACGTGCGAAATCAAAGCCTACAGACCGTCCAAAGGTCTGACCGTCCAAAGCTAGTCCTGAAAACCTCACCAAGTCTGGCCTTTTCTCGGCCATCCTATGCCAATCCAACTCTTTGGGTGAAGGTCGATCCTGAAGGTCTTTCGTCGGCTAGAATTCCTGGCCCACCATTAATTTCAAATCATGTCAAGAGACAGAATGCCGAACCACCCTTTGGTCAAGCTTTTATCATATATAGAGAAAAAGAAGGTCAAACCTTTGGTTTGGACATGTTTGGACCTCGGAAGGCTGGGGACATGAATCCAAGAACCAGTGAATCATGGTCTCCGTATGTCTCCGTGAGCAACCTCACTGGCCGAGGTAGATACCTAGAGAACCAGTCGTGTCATGCGTTTAGACGGGGAAACGACTGTGCCCGGGTCGTCTCCGAATCTAAAAATTCCGTCCCAGTATGTTCCAGTGCCATGCAAGGTATTCTGGATGTGACTGCGACTCCTACTTAGTTACTTACTGTTGATCCATTGATGGCTGCTCTTTGTGTTCAGGCTTGAGCAGCAAAACCGCCCCGAGAAGGAGTACTGATCGCCCATGCAATTTAGGGATTTTCGATCTATTGAAAGAGGGCGGCCCCCTGAGTCGGTTGGCGACCCTCGTTTGGTTGGTTGAACGCTTTCGCGCGGACTTCTTCCAAGGCTCCAATGTCCTGCCTGACCGTCAAGGTTTGGACCCATCACCCACCCAGTTCACATCTTCTATAGGGGTGTGGACTTGAGCCCCTTTTTTGTTTTCCATTCCCTCAAAGTCTTCCAGATCAACCCGCCCAGGCTCCCTTCGCATTCTTTAGCTTCTCCGGAGTGGTACCCGTCCTCCCTCCGAGCACCGCCGAGCACCGCCACGGTCCGCTGAGAAGACGAGGGGCCCAGGCCAAGCCCAAGCAGACCGCGGTGCCGTTGCGATCGCCCGGGATCCAGAGACGCTCCTCAGCCTCGGGATCCTGGAGAACTCGGTCGTTGCGAACAAAAACAGAGAGAGAGATCGGCTGAAACGAAGGAGGATGGAATTAATATATATATATATATATGGAAGGTATATGAGCTCTATATATGCCCCAAAAGATCCAACATGAAATTTCGAGTTTCAATGAGCCCCCTTACAATCCACCAATTCACCACTTGCGTCACGCGATTTTCAAGGAGCTCTGCAGATCTCTGCGCAAATTGCCATCCTGTGACCACCCAGAATAATGAGGGAACTACTAGATTTGCTGGGTCGTGGTTCCCACATATAGAGCCCTTGAAGACACCAAAATGGCAATCTCATGCCCACAACTACCCTCTCCAAGTCTACAAACACAGCCCGCCAGTCTACATACGATATACAGACCCGCGAGTAACATATCCACAAGTCTTCCCGGATCTCCCAGAAGGCTGCGACCGTCGGAAGACGACATGGAATGGCACGTGTGGTGGCCATCACTTCCAACGATACGGGACCCGTCTGTCTACAAGTGTCGAAAGTGCGCCAGTTCGTTTTTGCCCCGGTAGACCTCACGAAAGCCAGGGTTCCGGCCGGTTTTCCGTTTTCGCTGGAGGTTCTGAAAGGTGACAAACGAGGGAGCTCGAGATAGGGCTCCAGGAGTCAAGGCCTCATAGATTGACCATGTCCCAGGAGTCACAAAGGGTTTAGCCCCTAAGTGAGTGGATAAAGAGCCCCAAAACACCCTTAACATCCCTTAACCCCCATGAAGCACCCATGTGGAACTGCCGGTCTGGTCGTCTATTGTTGTTTTAAGGCCAACCAGGGTGGTCCTGCTTGAAAGACCCACAGCCTGGCACCCTCAGAGGCCAGCAAGATCCATCTGGTTTGATTCCCACCTGGTTAGATCCCAAAACGCCTCATTTGTAGAGCTTCTGGAGTCGAGTGGTGGACCAGTTTGCAGCTGCTTCCAACAGGTTACCCATCAACAACCCTACACTGCATATGGGTCACCATTGGACACCCAGACAGGAAGCGCTAAGTATGATGTTGTACTTCTTAACTGTTTCACTGCCAGGGCGTGACGCCACCCTAATCTCCAAGAGAGGAGATAGCAGCCATGGAGAAAAGAGTGGTGAAGCTGACTGGACCGCTACCTGACTACTGGTGTCCGCCAGAAGTCAAGACGAAAGGAGAGATTAGGGCTCTGACAACATGTTTTGGGATGTGGGCCTAAAACCTCTTGATTGACTCCAAAAACACCAAATATGGTGTAGATTCCATAACCAATATATACAGAATCAAGTTCCACTTCATCTTTTCCACGAGTTTTATACAGTTCGCAACTAGGATCAGGTGGACCCCTAATCATCCTAATCTTCCACTGCCAATGCCAAGGATAAACAAACCCGGCTTGTGTTGTAGCTCCAAAAGCTGGCCCAAAGCAGTCCTTGGTGTTGAGGACCGTATCCTCAGTCCCAGATTCGCTTGTCGATGTTCTCGGGCGATCAGTGACCGGGTCTGGGTGCTCAAGGGTTTTGGGGAACTCTTTCGGTACACGAACACCCCACAACCTAGAAATCCAGTTCGACCATTTTGGAGCAAACTACCGAAAAAATGGAACACGACCCGGAGCCATTCGGAGCCGACCACGGGAGTTCCCCAAGCCCTAGGAGCATCGCCCTGGAAAGCTTCCCTGGTGTTGGCATCTCGACTGGAGGGTCGAGGTAGGTATCCTTACCCCAGGTTACGGGTCCTCTTGTAAGGTCACTTGACCTTTGTTGGCTTGCTTTGGAGGGACCGGGGTCCAGGGCCGTTTTTGCACGAAGCGTCTGGGAAGGACAGGACGTTTTCGGGCCAAAACCCAATCGAAACGCGTTCCGGAAGGTCAAACACCAGCCCAGCCAGGCGTCGATCAAGTAGACCTTGATGAAGATGGTGGCCAAATAGTAGGCATTCCTTCCCGCCGGGAAAAACTTGAAGAAAACATCCGACTGGGCCGGAAAAAGAATTAAAAAAAGAACGCGTCAAAAGCCGATGTTTTTCCATGACTGGGAGCCTCAGTTTCACCTGCAAATGAACCATACCGGCAACTAGTAGGCAGGGACCATAGGACTATCTGGGACCCTAAGTAGTTGAGGGTATAAACCTCCATTTGGGGGTGGACACCCCCAATCCCCCCAAAAAAGGTTCTTGCAGCTTCTGCAGGGACTTCCTGCGTCGAACACGACTGGCCCAAAACAAAAACAAAAGGGGGGCTTGGGGCCGTGTTCTGCGGGTCCAAACTTCCTCCATGGATCGCACCTGGACCTTCGATGGAACTGCCGGTACGCCTGTTTTTTTCTTGACCCTAGGGCTCCAGTCGTACCTCCTCAGAAGGAATCTAAACAACCACCACGACGATCCATAACCAGCCGGGGCGTTCGGTCAAGGAGTGAGGCTGTACAGGGAATCGGCTTTTGCCAACTACAGATTTGTCATGCCGTGATAGACAAAGGTAAACTGCCAAGCCAGGCACTCAGCATGTCTATTGGCCTATTTTGTGGAGACCTCCTCTCATTCAATGGAATTACACAGTATAAACAAGTCAGTCAAGGAAAATCACAAAATACTCCAGAGAGCGATGGATTTGTTCCCACCGGAACTTGGAAGCCTTGAGAAACCTGGTAAACAATGAGCCCCCCTCAAAAAGACAGGTCGGTGTGCTGGTTTCTGCCTGCCTGGCCAAGCGCCAAAACACCCGGAACGTCCGTTCTTCGTGCACTTCATGTGACTCTTCCTTTCGGTCTGGTCTTAGTCTGATACATTCCGGTCTTCGTTTTCGCCGGTCGGAACCGCATCCACTACGTCCGCTCGAAAACAAGAGTCCCCAGGTTGGCCAAGAGAAGCACCAAGATGGTCTTCCACCAGATCTGATCCACATGAACGAAGCAGAACTTGATGAAAGACCATAAGAGACCTGTAGGCCGTGTCGAGCTCGGAGGCGTGACCCGGTTTAGGCGTGACCCGGTGAAGGTCCAAGGATTGGGCCGGGTGACTCAAAAACCAACTGGTCATCGGATGTTCGAGTCGTAGCGTAGCATGCGAGGAATGAACGCCCATAATAGGAGACACCCAATTTTGGCTGGTGAAAAAACTGTGTTCATCCATTTTCCCAAACTATCCATGGGGGCTTATGTACCGATACCAAGTGATATATAATATTTATTTATTATTCCATACAGCGATGGTCTGGGTTATTCAGAATCCTTTCGATACCAAGTGAAATCTCGGCAAATTTCAGAGTTCGCAAAGAACCATTCGGATCCATTCGGTCTTCAACAAAAAACAATGGATCTCTCGACTGGGTCAAGTCAGACTTGCTCTCCATGCCGTTCTGATCATTCCCGAAGCTGCAGAAAAAAGGGCTCGGCTCACTCGAAAGTGCTTTGTTAAGCGAAGGTGTGAACTCTGGATCTGATTCAGAGAGAAAAGACACGAGATCGACCGAAAGTCCTCGGTAGTCATGTAGACTTGGACTTTGGATGAATCAAGCCCCCCCCCAAACTCCCCCTTTTCTCTGGGGACTCCTTCTCAGTGGCACTCCTGCCGTGCCTCGTCTTGCCATGTTGGCCTCCGGCCTGGTGGCTCTTGCTTCTCGGTTCACTGCATTTGCCTCTTCCGTTCATCTTGTGCCTTTCTAGGCCCTTCGTCTGCCGTGCGGGGTTGGTGTGTGCGCAGTCCCAACTCTTCACACACCTTCGATCCTTGGACTTTGGATCCTATGTTCTGGCCGCTTCCATGTGTCAGTCGTGGATTTTATGGACTTTGCTTGTTTTGTGGTTTTCGCGCCTTCGATGGTTACTTGCCATCGGGCTTCGTTCAGCTGCCAGACAGGGGAGGATTCCAAACCATCCAGGGCCTAATTACCATGCTTTACATTTGTTTCCTTTGGGGATTGAGAGCTCCATGCACATCACTCAAACTCCCCTTGCACCAGGGGCTTTGAGTCAATTTGATTCGACTAAAGGGTACCCCGGCGAAGGTCCCGGGCCAGGTTGCCAGCAGCTCACTGTCAGCACGGTGAACATTGGATCCTTGAAAACCAACACTTTTTGGTCTTCTTCACCGGATGACATCATTTGCATTCAGGAGACTAGAATCGGCAAAAACAATTTCAGGTCCGCCCGCAAAGACGTCGAATCCAAGGGGAAACACCTTTTTGCTGGTGAGCTGCTACCTGGCATCCTCCAATCCAACGGTGTTCTCAAGTCTGGGTGGGGTGGGACGGCCATTTTGGCCAGCCAAGAGCTTGTGTCCCCCCTTGACCCCAAATCGTGTCCGCTTTACCAGAAGCTTTTCGAGACAAAAAGAGTTGTTGCGGTGTGGGCCCAGGTTACCCCTGTCACCAAATTGCTTGTGTTCTCGGTTTACGCAAGAACCGCAGCATCCAAATTTCCTGAGGTGTATGCCGAAAACGACGCTCTGTTTTCCTGCATTTTGGAATGTTGTGCTCAGTTTGGGCCCGTGCCTATCCTTATCTGTGGGGACTTGCAACTGAATCCAATGCATTACAAGAGCCTTTCAGGGGCCATCAATAATCACTCGTGGTTCGATCCCCTCTCTACAACCGATAGTAATGGGGCTTTGTACCGACCACTCACGTTCTCCAATGATGGTCTCTTTTCAGGCCTTGGGGACCATTGCACTTCTATCGACGGGATCATTTGTAACCATGTGGCATTCTCTGCTCTTAGAAGCATTGAAGTCCTTCCCTTGCACAAGGTCCAACACAGACCCATAAGGGCTTCCTTCTCGTGGGAGTCAATTACCCAGGTGGGCTTCACACTGGTCAAGACTGCCCCCTTCAACTTGGAGCAGTGTTCGAGACCTGATCCATCTGACCCCTTGTGTCCGTGCCACGACAATGCAATTCAGATTTGGACCAATGGTTTTGAATCCCGGTTTGATTGCGCACCCGATGTTGACTCCAAATGGGACGTTGCCAACCAGTTCCTTGTTCAAGTCCTGTCCGCTAATGGGGCCACATGGGATAAAGGTCCCCATGTTAGAGGAAAACCCCCTAAGTTTAAGGAAACCAGGATTTCTCCTGGCCAGACATGCCACGGTGACGCCCTCTCACATAAACTAAGGAAGATCTCGAAAACATTGAACCTCCTTCGCGAGGTTTATGTTCGTTTGTCCAGACCAGTTCGTTCACCGGCCGATGCACTCACCTTGTCGGGAACCATACACAAAGTTGCCAAACAATTGCTTCAGTGGGAGTGCCCGTATCTGTGGGCCAGAGGCACACTCCCCACGTTGGATTCCACCTATGCTTGCCTGGAGTGGGTGCACCAGAAATTGTTATCCACCACCACTGAAGTGCGCAAATTTCGGATCCAGCAGTGGAGAGATCGCATCAAAGCATCCAATGTGTCCGACAAGAAATTTGCTTTTCAACACTTGAAGAACAAGGCATCCGAAGAACCCCCGAATCTCATTACTGACGGTTCCGGTAACGTCCTTTACCAACCATTGGACGCCCTTGCTGAGTTCAACAGCCAATGGGACACAGTCTTTGGGGCAAATGCGCTTCATGAAGACCCCCATACCATCCTGCGGGTTGTTTGGCCCTATGTTGCTGACTTCTCAAGAAACGCGGAAGTCCCTAGCATTACGGCCCATGACCTTCACAAGCAAATCCAGAGGCGTAAGAAGGAAGCCGCACCGGGGTTGGACGGCTGGCGAACAGCTGAACTCCAGATCCTACCTTGGTTTGCTTTTGTTCCGTTCGCTACTGTCTTTAATGACATCGAGCAAAACCTCTCGGATCTACCAAAAGTGTTAACCATCGCAAAGCAAATGGTCTTGAACAAAAACGGTGACCCTTCACCGATGCAAAAGAGGCTCATCACGTTGTTGCCTGTCCTTCTTCTCAGCTATACCGGTCTCAGATTTAGGCAGCTTCAAAACTGGCAGAACCAGGTCATCCCAAGAAACCTGTGTGGTGCTATTAGAGGCCGTACTATGTCTGCCGTTCACACCACCTTGCGCATGGAGCTTGATGTTGCTCATCAGAATGGGGATACCCTGGTCGGCCTCAAATTAGACAAGTCAAAATGCTTTGACAGAATTATCCCGGCCGTCGCGGGTGCCTTGATGATGGCCTTTGGTGCCCCGCGTGGAGTCGTCCATTTCTTCGTGCAGATGTACACCCACCTTAAGCGGCACCTTGCTCTGAGGGGATGGATTTCCCCCACCCCAACTACTGCGTGTAATGGAGTGGCACAAGGGTGTTCACTATCCCTCATTGCAGTTAACCTCATGATGGCAGTGTGGGCCATTTTCATGAACCTCATTCCTCACATCACGGCCAAAGCGTTCATTGATGACGCCTACCTGTGGGCATCGATCCTGAGACTTGAAAGCCTGGTCCAAGCATTTGAAGTCACAAACTTTTGGGACTCCCTCATTGGGCAAGCATCCAATCCGGGGAAATGCCAACTGTGGACGTCCGATACCAAACAAAAAGCCCGTGTCTCCAGCAAGTTTCCAAATGTTCCCATTGCCGACACCATCGATGTTCTCGGTGTTAAACTCTACGTAAGTAAGGTCAAGTCTTTTGCCTTCGATGATCGGAAGACTGAGAAACTTGTCAATGATGTTCGCAACATCTCCGCACTTCCACTTAATACGTCATCCAAAGCTAAATTGATTGCTTGTAAAGTGGTACCCCAAGTCACATATGGTGCGGCCATCACCAAGATTCCCCAAAGGGTCATTTGGAAAACACAGAATGAAATTGTTAATGTTTTGTGGGCCAACCGGCCACACTGGAGATCACGCATGTTGGTCTTGGGCCTCCTGGGGTTGCCACATCGCACTGAACCCCGTATTGCAAGAGCCTATAGTGCCATCCTCGACTTTGTTTCGGTTCTTGAACCAATACCCTGCTTCGATTCCAACATGCTGCGCACTACAGGCAAGTCATCAGTGGCCCCATGAATCGCTCTTGTGGCAGATACAGACTTGCCTTGGCATTCTTGGTTTGAAGCTTGAGCCCAATCTTCATGTTTCATTTCGGGGATCCCAGAGTATTTGCTTGTATGAGGTCAACCCCAAAGATTTTGCCAAACCGTTGCAATACTTCGCCATCCAGCAATGTTATTGCGCTGCTGTTTCGAACAATCGCAAAGACATTCAAAAGTGTTCAGGAATCTTTGACCCCGACTTGTCTGACATTTTCACTCGGCGGTCTAAACTTTCCTTTGAGTCTCCTTTTCCTATTAAAGCGTTTTTCGACTCAGTGCGTGTCGGGTGCAATCTTACAAATGACAGATTGTTTCGGGCTGGCTTAGTCAACAGTCCGCAGTGCCGCATGTGCGAAGCCCAAAAAGAATCGTGGGAACACCTCGTCCACGAATGCCCAGGTGTCGAATCAGTTCTCCCTCGACCTGCTAGCCATGAGCTTGGAGAAAACTTTACCCAATTTGGGTTGTGGGCTCACCCTCGCCAAGTTGCGTTGCAGAGATTGAGGGTCACTCCTACAGGTGCTCAGGTGACCGCCTTTGACCCCAATGTGACATCCATTTTCTGGACTGACGGCTCAGTACAGTGGAACTCATACTTTTGGCTTGCAGCTGGGGGATATGCTGTCATCGCCGAGAATGCTGCAGTTGTTGAAAGTGGCCCGGTCCGACATTGGGAACTTTGTGCCTACACTACCGAGTTGTTTGCGCTATTAAGGGCCATCAAGTTGGCCTCGGGTCTTGTTGAAATCCGGACGGACTGCCTCACGATAGTCGACCAGTTCACCGAACTTTCCACCACACTGGAAGTCAATGCCAAGTGGTCCCACCAACCATGGTGGTCCGAAATCTTGACTATTCTCCGCAACCGACTGTTGGTACACCTACATCCTATACAAGTGTCTTGGGTCCCAAGCCATGTGTTGGAGGAGTGTCCCACATTCCTCCTTACAGAGAAGCAAGCAAAAGAGCATGGCTCCACTGTCGTTGACATCGTCAACAACCGACAAGCGGACAAATATGCGAAGGCTGCAGCCACTGCAGACTCAGCGATCCACCCCGACAAACAATCCATGTTGGAAAAAGCCGTTCTGAACCGCCAGGAATGGCTGGTTCTTGTCAATTGGGTGCTCGAAATGAAGCAACCACCTCCGTCGAAGCGCCTTGATGAGAGCACTAGTGAGCCTCCTAGGGTCAACTCCATTGAAGACGTTGTCAAAAGATTTCTTACGTGGTCGTGGACTTCGTCGGTTGTGGATTACCAGTGGAAGCCCAAGATTCCAAGGGGACTACCATGTCCCTCCTCATGGCAGTTCGAGTTAGAAGACTGGATTTCCTTCCGATCTTTCTTCGACAAGCTTCGCTGGAAAATCAACGACGAGTGCAGTTTTTCCACTGTGGAATTGGCGTGCCTGTTTTGGTGGCGTGGTGGATCCCACAGCCAACTTGCCCCAAAGATGAGCAGGTACAGTCACTTGATCACTGTGTTCAGAACTATGCTCAAACATTTGACCCGGTCTACTGACGCCCAACCGTTTCCATGCGATCTTGACTCCAAGAGGAACAAATGCTGTGGCAGAGAACTTCCGAAAGGAGTCTTCATTGGGTGCGAGGTGTTCATGTCGGACGATGAGCGCTTCCGCCTGGTTCGTCTTTTCGATGAGGGTGCTGGCCGGAGTCTTTCCACGTGGGACTCAATCCTCTAGGTACCAATTCGATGCATGCCCCCTTTCCTGTGTTCACCCTTTGCCGGACTCCAGAGAGGGTCTGGTAGCGCTTGTTGGATCTCGATTCGTGCGCGATGGTGGAATCAAGCCCCCCCCCAAACATGGATCGTAAAAACCTCCTTCGCCTTCGGGGCTTGAAATGCAATCGATTGAGTCGGCAGCAGGGTCATCCTATCTGGGTGTCGAATAGACTACCCTACGCTATACTTACAGGTCTCCAGAGAGGGCACCCGTTGGAAGTGCTAGCTATGTGAGGTCTACCTTTTGGTTTAAAAAAAATATAATCAAAATTCACCAGCAGTCACAAGACAGGCTGCTATCCATGGAGGTTTGGGGTGCCCCCAACATCACATCCACTTTCGCCCTGGATTCACTGGATGGGACTAAACACCACACCACCCCAAGCACCGCACCGAACGAACGTGACTCCGCAAGCAGGTCCGACGAGCCATGGGTCCGACTCACCGACTCGGTCCGTGGTGGTCCGCGATTTCAAGCACCGATATGTCATTGGTCCGTGGACGGAGAGAGTGGGACTGGGGGGACTGAGGGATTGGAGGGAGGTGGGCTGAGAGATGTTCAATTCCCCCAAAGCTGTTGAGCATTGTTGAATATTGTTGAGCTATCCCAACACGACTTGTATGGGACTGCCACGACTTGGCTGATCAATTGGGCAGCCAGCCGACAGGTCGGTACTGCCCGAGAGTTGGGTTGGAGAACATACCCCGCCCCGAACCTGTACCGCCCCTGCCAGTGTGCTCACACGCACGAAGTCGGAGATCTGTTCAGCCGGGGCATGCAGAGCTCTTGAGTTCCCTCCAAAGACTCACACTATGAATGAATGATGATGACACCATGATTGAGAATTCCTTCCTTTCCAGCTCTTCTCATCACTCACTCCAACATCCTCAAAAGGACTTAATCCTCGGTGCGGTCATCCCTTTGCTAAGAACCTTCCTGGTCCACCCAGCAAACACGTCCGTCTTCCGCTGGGCGCCAAGGAGCTAAAGCCCACTTCCTGGGTCTTCGACCAAGCCCCGTCGCACCACGGCCGACGGACACAGCGAAGGAAAACACCGGTCTCACCTCCGGGGTTTGGAGGAACATCGCGGTGGATCTTTAGCTAGATCAGAACATTCCGTAGATCACTGGACGTTGTATGGCTTTAAAGGGATTGGCTTTGAGGGCTTTGATGTGCATTTAGGTCCTCGATTGTCTCAACCGATTGGATTTCATGTGACTCTGGGCTCAAAAGTAAACACCCTGGCACCTGCAGGTTTGGGTAAACCCCAGGATTCCTGGCTCACCATTGATTTAATGATCTACATCCCACAGAACCATTGCTTTACTGAGGATTTTACACTACAAACCCAGGTCAAACCGTTCTTTTACTGGTCAAACTGAAGGCTAGGGTTTAGATGTTCCACGCAGGTGGGATGGCACCCCGGCCATCACTCACCGAGTCAGAGCAACCGGCCAGGGCCGGTACGGAGAGACAGGGTACCTGCAGGAAAGACCCGTGAAGTACTCCAGAAAAGTGTTTGTTCAGGTCATGGCTACGCCTTTTTCTAAGGTACTTTCACAGTCCACCGGGTCTAGGTACACCTTTTGGGGCGCTGACCACTCACAAGATCAATTCAGTCAAGGCTCATGTAGGGCTGCTTCTTCCCCCGTCTCGATCTCTTCCTTGAAGTCGTTGGAGGGGAACAAGTCGTCGTCGAGGATCATCACACTGGACGTTTTGTAGCGGGGATCCTGACAGGGGTCTCGGCGTCCTTTGCTCTCTGCCGTTCTGCGCCCCCCAAAAAGGGTTACCAAGCAGTACCAAGACCTTGTCTAAAAGGAGGAGAGGGGGGTACCATCCATGTAATTCCCACCACCCGACTGAAAACAGATCTCCTGACCTGAGGTAAGTACTAGAGAGTTGTCTCAAGAGGTGACCTGTTGAAATGGTTTCAATGCTGAAAAACTATATATGTCTAGAAAGAGAGAGAGAGAGACAGACAGACAGGAGAGGGAAGTCGTGCGCAGGTACTTTGGTCTTGGGCACGTGTCATCTACCCATCAACAGGGTCCGGACGCTCTGATCGAAGGGCAATGCAGTGCTCAAGCACCCTGCGATCACACACCGTTCCAAGTCGGTTCTCTGACGGACAAACCAGCGCATTGAAACGGACATCAAGGAAGATTTGAAGGTTGACACCCATGCAGCACCAAAAACTCTCTCGCAGTACTCGGGGGGGTGCTTTGTTTCCTTCCTATCGGACCAGTGGGCTGGCGAGAACAGCCACCGGGCACTGTCACTGTCATGTGTCGTCGGGCCGGCGGTTTAGGCGGCCAAGGCACTAGCACGCAATTCCTGGGCTCAGTGAGTATGACATCAAACTCCTGGAAGGCGGGAGAGGCCTAGACGGTGCTCCGTCCCTACCCTGTCAGGCCCGGCTCCATGACGTAGGATGTGAACGAACAAGCCTCCGAGCACATGAGTTCTCCGTATACCTTCTTGATTCTTGATTCTTGTATATGTTGGAGAAAACTAGAAAATAAAGGAGTCACATCAAAGCATTTGAATTCATTTGGACTCTTGTGCGAACTTGCTTGGGAGCTCTGGACTCCACGGCCACAACCTTTACAATCCAAGTTAGCCTCCGTCACAAAACCCACCGGCGACCTCCAGAAACCGTCCCGGTCCCCCAGGATTGCAACCACCATTGCTTTAATACGTTAGTCTTTACCGAATAAACTTTGTTTTATTACACTGCAAAACCAGGTCAACCATCTTTGAAATGGCTTTCTAGGAACACTACAGAAGCAGGTCAACCTTTCTTTGAATGGTCTTGGCTAAAAAGCCTCCAACTGGGTCCGTCTGTGCTGTTTCTCCGGTGCAGCAGATCCGCTTGATGCCCGGACCGAAAACCAACAGGGTGCTTCCGAAAAGCGTAAAATGACAAAAGATCTCCAAAGCCAGAAAACCACTTAAAGCATCTCCAAAGATTGTTTTAAAAAAAAAACGATGTAAAACATCTCCACAGGTTTTACCATCGATCAGAAAACCTTTTGATCTCCAAAGCTAAAAAGACGTGTTGTACCATCGAAAAACTCCCCCACGCCTGAACAAAAAAGGTTTTACCATCCATGTCGGGACTGGGGGGGTTGCCACAATCTGCCGATCAGTCGTGAAGACGAAAAAGGGGTCCATGGAGTGGCCGAATACTGATTCCACCTGGACCCGATGCCCCTTGGTACCTTCGGAAATGGGACATCACCCGAACCAAATAAGAGGTACTTCAAAGGTACTACTTGTACATGCTTGTACCATCTTATACCCGTTTTCCTAGGTACAAAGAGGTTGACTCCAGGCAGTCCTATGAGTAATGTCATATTCCAAAACGATCTCCGGCAGAGGACTTTCATGGCATTTGACGACATGTCGCAAGGGTCTTCACTGAGAACATGCCTCCCAGTCGCAGAAAAACCTGACCCCTTCCGTCCCTCTCTATAGAGAACCTCTCCTCACCCCTTAAGGAACCTTAAAGGAACCCCTCCTCACCTGCGCCACACGGACGGCACCGCCCAAGCGTCGCGCGCGTCGCGCGTCGCGCGGCCGGAAAGTCTCCAGGGCGGTGTCGAAGTTATCGTCGTTGATGATCTTCACCTCGAAAGTCCTGGCAAGTGTCAATTCGGAAGACGGGTCTGGCATGTAAAGCTCAACCAGGTCCTCCGATTTTGTTTGGGGGGCGTTTGAGTTTTGATGACTTCAAAAAGGAGACCTGGTGGTGGAGGGTTTTGGAGGTGTCACCCTGCAAAGTTCAAGCATTTGTTCGGCGAACACGGACGGTCACACTTATTACGCAATGGGGAAAAGGAAGACCTAATCGGAGTGCTAGAACAGACCCAATTCAGTGGTCTGAATCCAGAAGAACCACTGCTTCACTTGAGGATCTTACATTACAAAAGCAGGTAAACCGTGGCAAACCATGCCATTAATGGTCGAACTGAATTCAGGCTAGGAAGGCTAGGCACCAAACGTTCTGTTCGACAGACCGACCGGTCCAGAACCTCGACCCCAAACACCAAGGATTCAAGTCCCGGATGGCGTCTGCCGAACAAAATGAACCAACCAACCTACCTACCTACCTGCCTGACCTACCTACCTGCCACCTCCACCTCCACCCACCAATTCCTCCGAAAGTCACTCCACCTTCTTCCTCTCCACCTGCTTCCGAAACCACCGCCCCGAAACACCGACCGCTACCCGACCGGTGCCACCGGTCCCACCGGTCCCACCGGGTCCGGTCCCACCGGTCCACCGGGTCCGGCGGGAACGCGGTCCTCACCGACTCTCCGGGGCCGAAGTTCAGGATGCCCTCGCCACCTGAGAGCGGAGTGGGGGGGTTCCGCGGCGCGCAGCGAGCGTTCGGAGCATGGCGCGTTCGGCCAGCGCGGGTGGCGAGCGCGGTCAGGAACGGAAGGGACAGAGTGAGGTCAGGAGGACAATGCCAAGCCAGCACTACATGAGGTGAAGGACCAGGTATGACTTAGCCCATACAGACTTGTATCAGAAAGGCCTAATGGTCTACCGAGTCTACTGATTGCTAAGAGATGTGCTCTCAGAAGGCCCCCAAAGAGTCCCTGAAGTGGGCAACAAAAATATCTCTAACCCATTTGGATTGTAACCGCATCTTCATATTGTTCTCATTATTGCAGGGGATATTAATAATAACAAAACCATACCAAAGCAAAAAGTGCAGACAATATTTGAGGGTGTATTTGTAATTGTATGTAATTGTATTTAAACTTTGGAAAAGCGTAGGTGTGGACATTCATTGACGGGGGGTGCCGTGATTAAATCAAAAAAAGCAAACGTTATTGTATAAGTGGTTATATTGTTCAAGGTTTCTAGCGTGCTGGGCCACCGTTGTGTAATAGATTGTTGCAATAACTTGAAGATGTAGTAAGGAATTTGACAGAAATCAATGAGCGAATTTAAAGGGAAATGAATGAACTATATAAAACTAAACTGATTTAAAAGGAATTCAACACAAATTTAAAAGGAACTCAAAAGGAATCAAAAGGAATTCACAAGCGAAGCAATTATATAGAATCAAGAGGAATCTACAAGAAAAACACTTGGATTCAAAAGGAATGTAAAAGGAAATCATTTGAAATCAAAATATGTGTTTAAAATCATCAACAAGAATCAAAAGGGAGTTAAAATGATATATCATTAGAAAGCAAGAATAGTCTTCAACGGAAAACACTTGGAATCAAAAGGAATTCAAAAGGAAATCAACAAAAGCAAAACAAGTTTACTGTACAGAAAATTCCTTAATCAAAAGGAATTTAAAGAGAAACCATCTGAAATCAAAAGCCGTTGAAAATGGAATCAACAAGAATCAAAAGGATTTGAAAGGACATCATTTAAAAGGGAATCGGTGTTTTACAATATTTTGAAGGCAAAAATATGTGCAAAAAGAAACAACAAGAATCAAAAAGAGTTCAAAAGAAAATCACTTGCAATCCAAAGAAAGTTAAAGGGAAATCGATTGAAATCTAAAGGTGTTTGATGGGGAATCAGCAAGAATCAAGTGGAACAAAGGAAACCAATAGGATCAAATAATTAGGAACATGTTTTGGGATTTGAAGTGTGTATTATCAATTCACTAGCGCTATGTAGTCATTTCATGATTACTGTGTGTGTTAATCCAGGCTAGATTTGGTGGCCGTTATATGAGGTTTACTGACATGCCCGGTGCCCGGCTTCCAGGGACAACGACATGATGGTTGCACATCTCAACGACGGCGCATCATCACTTCAGGTGTTGCTCTCCCATATCCAGAAGATTCCAGCCAGCTGCTCGTCTTGGGTGAAGCGGATTTGCATCATCGGATCTCCGATGCGGAGACATTCATCCAACAGTGCCACCACTAGCCCTTATCTCCGGCCGAATCAGGGATCACCTCAAATGCCCACTGCAGCAATCTCCTCAGAATCAAGACAAATCGTCTTGGCATCCCTCGAACATAACGAGCCAAGCTGTTGCTTCCGCGCGGAGCAAAAGCTGGAGTCCAGTTCGACGATTTGTTTGACCGACAGAAGGAAAGGATATTCCTGAAACTCTGGTCACCCAGTCAGACCCTTCAGAGTCGACTGGACTCCCAGTGTATATATATATATATGCCTACAAAATCCCCCCTTGGTCAACCTTCTACCAATGAAATTCAAGAAATCCAGAGAAAACCACCCTCTATGGGGGGAGGGAATTCAAGATTGCCAGAGTACTGCTGGGGTGGGTGGGTGTTCATTGAATGATGTTTCATTGCTTAAAGCCACCCTAACCCCAATGATGTTCCATTTTGAGGGTCGCCATCCAGTGCCATCCAGTGTCGGTGCGAGGGTGCGCCCAGAAGGCATCACGACTCCACGGCCGACGCGGACGTTCCATCGGACGTCCCATGTGACCACCGGGGAACCCGAAATTCCATCCACATCCAGCGAGTGGGACGTCAACATCCCGGTCCCGGGATCCGTTGTCGTAGCGAACCTCCTAAGGTTTTCGTCCGGAGACACCTAGCTTGTGATGTAGGGATCCATGTAGGGATTCGTTTTCGTACCGAACCTCAGCTTCAGCACTGACGGGATCCCGAAATCATTCAACACCCCCCGGGACCCGTATCAAGTGCCGTCCTCTGCACGTGAAAACACCACCAGGGCACCGATGTACTTCCGCCCGGCCACGGCCGAGAAGTCTTCGGTGTACCACGCCCTGGGAACAACGCACGCCCGGTCGGGAAGAGGCCGACCGATGGGCAGATGGGGGTCCTCACCGGCTTGGAAGAGTGGAGGTAGATTTTTGGGAGGCGAAAGAAGACAGATGACTTGTCTCATCCAAAAACCACCCGGTAACTTGAAGGTTGGTGGTTATCTACCAAGACTGGTGGCCTACTATGCCATTTTTGTGTGTTGTAAAGGGGGGCTGATGCTATTTGTATATAAATCTCCAGCCGCTATTTACCAAATAGGCTGATTCTTGCAATTAGTTTCCAGCAGATTATAAATAGTTTCCAGCCAATGTATAATAAATAGTTTCAACATATCCCCCCCCCAAAAAAGAACACAGAATTGGCAAAACAAACAGGCCTCCGCGTCACCGCAGGTCTTTATTTTACAGGACCAATGCTCCCACCCTTTAGATGACGTTGTTAGAGGTTGTTGGGTGTGAGTCATGGTGCTTGTGACGGATGAAGAGTTCTGATCGTGCCATGTCCTGGAACTTCCCGATCGACGAAGCCGAGGCCGATCGACGAGGGACTTGGATCGACCCAAAGGAGGGCTGGACCACAAGCTGAGGACCGGAGGACATCTGAGGACCATCCTGCCTGTAACTCCAATAGACCCTAAGAAACCCAGAGTTTGGGTAGGTCCACCTCCAAGGCATCCTTTTCCTAAGTTGCGTTCGCATCCCCAAAGACAACAGCACATCTAGGATCCTTGAATCTGTTCCATTTAATCTTTGGACCCACCAGATCCTGTGCTTCAAGACGCGGCAATCCACAGTTGCAATGAATCACCTTTCCCAGAACTTCCAATGACTGAACTACCCACCTGAGAGTCATAATCCACCAAAGATGCAGTCATTTCCTAGTGATATCCACCCAAAAACCAGCTCCTGTGAGGTGGTCGAACACCTGGTGGTTGAATGTTGTTGATCATGTAGAATCATTGATTCATATTGATTCATCAACGCCCCAAAGTTCTGAAGAGGTGTTCATTTCAATGGTGATGATGTCTTTGCTTTTTCCATCACTCCCGACTCGACCTTCGAGGCCTTCCTCTTGGAAGCTGCCCAAAACTTCGTGCTCCTTCGTCCTCCGGTCCGCCAAGCGTCACGTCGCAGGTGCCCTGCAAGCTGCCGATGCGGATCACCCGAACCACCGCCGAGTCCTCCGTCTCGCCTGGCACATGCGAAGCGCCGAAGCGCGGACCGTAGGGCGCGCGACACGGGTGGGTGGCAACAACGGGTAGTGCGGGAACGTCCGGCGCCGGGGTCGAGGACCGGGGAGGTCGACTGGGTTGTTGTTGGGGTCTAAAAGCATCCCAATTTTGCATCCGAAAAGGATCCCAAAGGATCCCAAAAGGAAGGTGGCTTGTCTGAGTGCTGTTTGCATTCCGCAAACGCCCTCCTATCCCAAAAGGATCCCCAAATCATCGCCGAGGCACTCACATAGAAAGTCTTCGAAAAGAATTGCACCACATCCTTCTCGTGACCCGGTGGGCCTTATGCGATTACGTATACGCATCGAGGAGCGAGCGAAAGACGCGAAAGAAAGACACGTCTGTGACGACGTCTGTGGGTCTTTGCGGTGACCGGACTGGGTTGGACCCCGGAACCACCAAACCATGCACCCTGGAATACAAACAATGAAACAAAGCCAAGGTTAGGCCGTTTTGGGGGGGTTGAAGTGATGTTTTTCAGTGTTCAGGACTTCGGATGATGAGTGTTCAAGCCGTAGACCTCAAAAAAGACGTAAAAATAGCCTCCAATCCATGTGGTGTCATGCTCCCCTTCCGGATGGATGTGCTGCACGTTTGGATGGATGGACTCCCAGATGCCGGCCTTGGGTCGATCAAAGAAATTGACGTCATGTTACTGGAGTTGGGTCATGTTGAGTCATAATTACTAAAACATGCAATCATGTGAAAGACCAGGTTTGGAGGGTCTGACTGGACTTGTAGGTGTTGTCTTTTCATGTCTCTTCCATGGACGTAGGACGACGTCAGCTGGTTCTGACGTCTGCTCAACCGCTTCCCGAACTTGATCCCCTGGCGTGTTATCTGGCCACAAACAGGCCTGGAAGTCCGGTTACAAAGTTTGGAACTCCCAAACGATCACTTAAGAAGCAAAAAGGGCGCAGTGGATGATGACGGAATGATGGTGGTTGCAGGTTGACAGCTCTAACACTGGTGATCAGCAAGAACTGTTACTGGTTTACTTGCAAACACCGACTCTCATGATCACCCATACCAAATCATAGCCACATGGGCTCATCCCAGTGGTTGGTTGACTTCGGTGGTTGGTTCGGTATCATTCCTAGGGACTCCGAGATCGTGAGGTCACGAACGGAAGAAGCTGGTGGTCTTCCAACATCCACCGTCTTCCAACGCACGTAACGAAGTGTCCAAAAGGCCGGTGGTCTTCACTTTGAAAGGGCAGTGGTCCATTCCTAGCTTCGCTTCGGCTCTCTTCGATTGGATTCGATCGCTCCGCGGCTCTGCGTTCCGAGCTGCTCCTCTGCCGCACGGAGTTGGGCGTGGACAAGGGCCTCCCAAAGGCACCCATGGCGGCTTGACTCGCATAGGTGCCGCTCCCCGCATTCGGGGTGGTGCCTGATAAGCCCCGACTCGGCCGGTCGGACGTCGAAGTCACGTGTGGCGCCATCCGGTTGGACGTCGCAAGTCGATGGGGCCGAAGAAATCGAAAGGTCTGAGTGACCAGATGGTCCTGGAGGAGGACTCATGTAAACGGAAGGATGCTTGGAAGGAAGCCACAAGATACGTTGCGGAGCAACAACAACCGAAACAACTAATTCTGACTCCCGAGTGCTTTTTGTCACCCCACTTCCCCAAAGATTGATCATCTCAATTTGGAGTGAAAAACTATCACTCTTCAGGGGGACCAGGTAGTTACTGTAGCATACTGTAACTGTTTGTTGCATGTTTTTGGTACATGACCAACTCCAGTATATCATGAGGTCCGCTTTCCTGACCTGTAGGAGCCCGGAGAGATGGGCCGCTTCCCACGCGCCGGTCCAGGACCAGGACCCGGTGGACAAAGGCCACCGCCGGAATTGGGTCACCACCGGCCACTCCCAGATCGACGTGTGGCGGGTTTAGGGGTTCTCACTGTGAAGAAGCGGCGCCCCTTGGTGATCCTTGCTGACTTGTACGTGTTGCCTTTGTTCTTTGTTTTTTCTTTAGACCTTTTCGGATCCTTTAGGCCTTTCGTTGTTGTTTCGTTCGTTATATACTTATTGTTCAATTGCCATATTGGAACAACCATCTGTTTCTGGTTGTTTGGGTTTCTTGTTGTTTAGCTTTCCAGGTATGGGGCCTTCTCTCCGTTTCTCCGTTGACCCGCCGTTCCCGGGTGCCCGTCTCCATGTCTGTGCTGCTTGGGTCGCTGAACACCGTTGTGCGAGCTGCTTGGGTCGTCCGGCGCTGCCGTGCGGGCTTCTAGTAACATCTACCAGGACCTTCCAACAGGTGGTTTCAGAAGCCTAACAGGTGGTTTCTGGGCACCGGACTTGTCACCAGGAAACACCTGTGGAGGGTCCAGGTAGATGTTACTAGTAGCTTCTTCCAGGACACCCGGACCAGCTTCTATTGATAGCCCCGAAAAGAGGTGATTCGGGGTGTCCTTGTCTACCACCCCGACTGTTTGTCCTGGTTGTTACTAGTAGCGATGGCCTCCAACCTACTTGCGATGGTCTCCACCTAATAGCCTCCTTGCTACGACTGTGTCCAATTGGCTCTCTGGTCATCTTCCGTCTCTGTGGTACCAGCACAATGGCGCCAAACTATATCGACCGATCTGTGACGTGTGCCAGCAAAAAGACCCTCTGACTCACCTGTAACATGCAAGTGGAAAATTCCCTTGGAAGACTACTTTCTTCTACCAACAAGGGGTTTTCCACTTCCATGTGATGTGTCCGTCAGAGTGTACCGACCGTTCTTGAAACGGCTTCTTATCTTCTGTTTCGGGGGACGACGCTGGAAGACTTTCCGGAGGACGATGCCATCTGATGATACCTTCTCGGTCACACGTCGACGATACCGTCAAGCTGCATCTCACTCGGTCCCTCGTGTGTTTTGCGCTGAGCACGCACACTTCCTTTCCACTTCTTGTCCTTTTCTCCAAGTGGCCGGTCATATAGCCAGTGACACTTCTGGAGCCCACACTCAAGGGGAGCAAAGGCGCATAGTTCGTCGCCATGGTGGCCACCACTCCGCACCCTTCGCGGACGCGGACGCTGGCGCTGGCCGAGCTTGGTCTGCGGGCTGCTTCTTGGGCGCCGACTTTGCGTCGCTGGGCCAGAAACGTCGCGGCGGGGCCGGGCAGTGAGGCCGGGCAAAATGTACAGGACTTGGAACTCAGACCCAAACAGGCCCAAACACTCCATGTCTGGAACATCTGTGTCTATGCCAATCAGTTGGGGTGGTTAACCTGGGGCCAATTGATTGGCATATTCCAGCTATCATTGGTGTCTGGGAGTTCGGGTTTTCATTCTTCGTCCTGTTTGGAGCATGTTTAGCCCAGCGACGTCGGGCCGAAGTCTTTTCGAAGATCTAGGTCTTAGATTCCGAAACATCTTGAATGCGAAAGGTGGTTTTGTGTCCCATCCAGGGCTCGTGGATGTGACAGGGGCACACCTATCCTCCAAGTTCAGCACCCCGTCTTGTGACTGCTGATGCAATTGGATGCCTTTCATGAATTTGGGGTCAACCCAACAAAGAACCCAAGTCTCGAAACCGCTCAGAGCCCCAAGCTCGGGCATCAACTCACCAGATGAACCAACACCGTCAGCTGTTGCTTGCCGAGCTGGACCTCTGAACAAACCAGATGGGAAGCCATCCTCAAACAATCCGAAGAATTACTACCACCGAATTGATGCGTTTGGCACATCTGCACCTTTTGCCCAACACATGGAGGTTGCACCTCTATACTTATCGGACTACATCCGAAGAACAACTCCTGATGCCTGGACCCTGCAGTCGAGGTGTTTCGTGACAATTTCGGTGCAGATCGTGATGAATCTCTTTGTTAGAACCTGAGTGGCCCTGACTTTGGGATGATTTTGGCCAACACTCCACTATAGTCTTTCAACACGTATTTGTTTCTATCACAACAGTGGTCCATTCGAGGTACTTCCACGCCGCCCAGCCATGTTGGAGCCCGCTGGAACGAAGGAAACGAGTTCACCTTTCCGCTCGGATGATCAAACCAACAGAGCTCGAGCAGGGCGGCATCTGTTTTCGCACCCAAACGCCCCTACAAATCAGCCGCGATCGGCTGGGCGTTTTGTAGGGAGCAGGTGCGGGAGCAGGTGCGGGAGCAGGTGCTTCGCCAAGCCCCAGCGGGGCGAATCTGGGGCGTTTGGCATCCTCAACTGTTCCGGTGTTGGTCCTCAAACCTGTCGAGCGCCATGGGGATTTTGATCCATTCATCTCAGAACTCCCAAAAACGCCTATATAATATCATATCTAATATCCATGTTCTCCTCCCCAAATCCTGAAATCCAGCAAAACAAAAACACATACGTAAGCCAGCAGTCACAAAGGGGTGCGATCCATGGAGGTTTGGGGTGCCCATTATCGACTCACTTGGGGGACTAAAAACCACCCCTTTGTGACTCCTGGTGTCCTTTTGGTCTCCCCATTCGGTCGAGGGCCTCCAGGGAGGTGCGGCCTTCCAGGAGGTCCGTCATGTGCACGTCCCATGCCTGTGGGTCAAGCGTTGGAAAGGTCACCGGGTGGAAAGCGTCCCCGTCACCACGTAACGAACGAAGTCGGGTCCAGGTAAGACGGTCCAGACGACTTGATGGTTTCTAGGCCCGAATTCCAAGAACCATTGATGACTCCCCTGCACCAGAAAAAAGCATGGAATCCCCCCAGAGTATACTCTCCTCGGTTTGTAGAGGAATTGGCTCGTCTTCCAGTCTGGCTCAGGTTCTCAGGTTCTATCCACGAGCCAGTCGGTTTGTGGGGGGAGTTTACAGTTGGTCGATCCGAGTGTTGAAAACGGGCGTGGCTCTGCGGAAGGTGAAGGAAGGTGCACTGACCGGTAGCTAAAAGGGGAGAGTACCGCTTTAGGGGTGGAAACCATCGGTCTGGATCCTGGAAAAAGGAAAGGAGGCACTCGAGGGGGCAAGAACACAACATGGGAGACCTGGAAACACCAACCCTTTGGAGCTTCTGGTGATCTTTGGCTTAGCTTAGCTTGTTTTGCCATGTTTTGCCTCGTTTTTGGAGCTTCTTTCCGCAAAAAAGCACCCACGTCTAAAACGCGCAGATCCGCTGCTTCTGGGCACCACCTCAAGAACCGCTGCTTCTCCACCGCGAAGACGGTTCCGTCCCGTGGCGGAGACGGCGGAACGGGCGAACCTGGTGGACCCTGGACTGGTCGGGCGCCGGTCGCGACCCGAACGGTTGACCCCAGGTCCGCTCCGTGGACTCACGTCCGTTCGGCGATAGCAACTCCATGAGTTTGACCTGGATTTTGTAGACGTCAATTCCGGATCAAAACCGGTTCTTCGGGGTTTTCCTCCTATGAACTCATCCTCCGACGACAGGGGGTCGGAGACCAGCGCCTCAAAGCCGGCCATGTGGAACGCGGCCTTGGGATCGGTTGAGGTCGGAGTGTACAGCAGCCCTGTTCGGCCCCTTCGGTCGCGAGAGGTTGGAGGGGGTTCCTTGGTTGGAGGGGGTCCTGGACATGTACCAGTTTGTAGAGAAGAATGGTCATCCAAAACCATGTTCATCCAATGTCCACTTGCATGATTGATTCCAGAGAGTGTACCTTAATAGAAGTGGTCCTTCCAGTGACAGCGCCAGATTGAAGTTGATTCTAATCAAGACTGTTTACCTTCTTCTAATGGAAGAACGACTTGGGGAAAAACCCTGAGCAAGGACGTCCATCTCCGACATCTCACTTGCCTCAGATGCCCCGGATAACCCCGGATATCACTGATGTTCGATGAACCAATCAACGGCTTCGCCTCCCATTCTGATCACAGGCCTGACCTCGACATCAATTGAAGTCAAGAACACACTATATGCCGCAGCTGCCGTCATGGGCACCCCTTATGCTCCGTTAAGCACCTCCTTGGAACCTTTCATTTCTGCTTCCGAGTTGACAGAGTTCCCTAGTCTGTCAACCTCGGTGACCTGTTGTCTGAGTAGCACCATCACCATCGTTACTTTTACAATGCGAAGCCAAACGGGTGAAGAGCAGAGCTCACGTGCAGAGCTCACCACCAGAGCTCGGTGTGCATCAACCACGTTTTGCCGTCGCCGATTCTTCGGGCTGTAAGTTGGCCAATCACCTTCACAACCAGAACCTGCCAAACACCTTTTTATACCTAAGGCCCATTTGACCTCTGTTTTGATAGGAAAAAAACTTTAATTTTGGTGGTTGGTGATCCAAAATAGAGGTCATTTAGGTT